TATCTTGATGTATATTTCCTGGCCATATCCTATGGCAGCGCTGACAAATTGGTTAGCTCCCATTTGCCCTAGGTAACAGGAACACAAAGGGTTAAAAGCCCAACACCCTTTAGCCCATATAAGCACCTCCTTCACCTGAGCTCCCCTGTCTTTTTTTGTTCCTGTTCCCCTGGGACAGGGAGTATAGTGTTTTTCCCCTTCAGGGAAAAATGTCTTTCTGTTTGTTATTTTAATTATATATTTTTAGGTATATTGCCGCTGTGAAGTTCAGCCTCTCTTCCCTGCGGGGTCCTCAAGACTCGACCCCGGGCAAGGGTGTCCACTTGAGGAAGCTGAAGCCAATTCCTAATACCTGCAAGAGGCCTGCGGTGACCCTGGGGGTAGCATGGCATTGTAAATTACACTGTTAGGGGTTTTCTAGTAAATGTTCTTTTAATCCTGCTATATAGTGTAGAACGGTGTTCTACATTCATGTTGAATTCATGCTGCTTTAGACACTTCTTACATGGTAAACTATCAGACTGATTCCCCGAATGATGACACCAACCTTTGCTGATTTGCATTGTGTAAATTTAACTGACAAGAACTGTTGCTGCTCGGTTAAAGCTGAAGTCCGGGATAAAGCATATATTGTTTAAATGCAATAAGCTTGTGTATTCTTAATTGAATCTTTGTGTAGTGCATCCATATACATGGATACACTACACCTTATGGTGTCCCCATAAGGTACACCAGCTTCTTATTACACCATATTTAGGTGGTTCAGCAGACCATCAAGTTTATGGTCTCAAGTATCTGGTTACTCCCTTTCCTGTGAAGGCACACTCTTCTAGATCTGTGAGTGCTTCTTGGGCTTTTTGGCATCAAGCAGATTTGCAGGCTGCCAGCTGGTCTTCTCTCTATTTTACCAGGTGGATGTTTTGAAGCCTCATTAGATGCCAGCTTTGGGCTTATGGTCCTTCAGGAAGTTCTTTGAGCTGCAGGTGGTCCAAAGTTCGTTCTTTTTTTTTTTTTCTTGGGCCTGGTAATGTGCGTTTGCTTTGTTGCCCACTCAGTTGGATTGCTTTTGGATGCCCTGAAAATAAAACTTTAGGTATTCTCTCAAAGGACAGGAAAGACAATAGGATATTTGTACTTGCCTTCAAATTATTTTCCCTTTTGTGTTTGACCCCTCTGTGTTTATGATCATGTTCTCTGTACTGCTTTGCTACAGAATGCATTCAGGATAACCGGGATTATCCTTGGTTGGTCTACTGTGATGTTTTTATTTAAACCAGTATCCAATCCACCAGTAGGCAGCAGTATAACCTCAAATGACTACAACAAATGACAACAAAAAGAAAAACAAAAGAATGTTATTGAGCTTGGGGTAAATGTAGTTGGGGCCAGGCTAAATAGGATGTACTTTCCAAGAGCAGATAGGGCCCCTCTTCTGCCCTTGAAAAGCAATGGGATTTCAAGCCTTCATTGCACCAACACAGTTTCAGCAGCTTTAATTGTTCAAGAAACACCAGAGTTGCTTTTTTTTTAACTAGTATATCACTTGTGGGTCTAAGTGGAGCAAGAGTTAAAGCTATATGTGTTAAAATACTCAGATATTACACTAGTAATACTGAATTGTACAAACATGTTGGAAAGGGAGAGTTGGCAGTGTACATGTAGGAACACAGGAATTCATTTGAAAGCTAATACATGTAACAAATTGAAAAAAAAAATGTATTTTAGGGCTTGTTCACACCAAGTGCAGAGCAGTTACAGAACGCATCAAAAATGCATCCAATGTATTCTAATGGTATTTTGGGCTCTAGTTCACACCACATGGTTCAGTTCCAGAACATGTGGAAAAACTGCAGCATGCCTTATTTTTTTCTGCTCTGGAATGCACCAAAATGCATGCAAAACGCCTGGGATGCACTGAAAGCCCATTTTAGGCAAAAAGCACCAGAACGCAGCAAACTGCACCGCATATGCAGAAACTCATGCAGATCTGGTCCGGATTTTGTGTGAACAATCCCTCATAGAGAACTTAAACTGTGAAAGTTGTGCCCAAAAAGGCAATCGGAGGGAAAAGGGCTAGTTACCAGACTTGCCCGTAGCCTCTCTGTGGCTGATCTTTTAACCAGTGACTGGCCATGCATGTTCTGCACGGTTTCTGGGTGGGGGCAGCCATCTTGGTACAGAAAGGTCTTTACTTCCCCATTTCAAAGCTGCACTCCTTATGACTGGTGGTATTTTATTCAAGAAAAGGCAGGAGAGATGCAGAGTAATGACCTCACCAAGTCTCATTTCAGATCCCATGGGTTTAGCAGTCAGGCAGCAGTGCCTTTGATGCTTTTATACTGCAGATATACAGCTATAAGGGTCAAGGCACAGCACTGCTATTTTTCAAGAGGACTTCCAGACAAAACAGAGATTTTGTTTCAGATTGCGGCTACAATTGCATTCACATAAAGCTTTAGTGACACCTTGTGAGTTTGGATGTTTTATTTTAAGTTTTTATGATATATGGAGCATATGAACATCTCCCAGTTTTACCCCTTTAACTATGTAATTGTACCCTACAGTGTAATAGACTTCTGAAGTGGTGTCCTGCTCCAGACTGCCATCACGTTGTTAAAGTTCAGTATCCTGACGCCAAACCTGTGCGTTGCAAATGTGGCCGTCAGTTCTGGTGAGTTACTTGTGGAAGAACTGAAACTTGTTGTGGTAGACGCATAAGTAAAGTTTGTGGTTATTGTATTGGTAATGTAAAAATAAAAATTTGTAAAAAATCTGCAAATTAATTTTATGCAAGAAAAGTTAGTTAAGAAGGGTAAGCTAGGGCAAAATAAAAAAAAACAACAAAGTATGTCTCTGCAGTACATTCACATTTCCCCATGTTTTATCTCTTTAAAGACCTTGCGAGTACATAACAATACCTGTTGATCTTTCACGCATTAAGCCTGTTGGACTGACAACTCAGAGCTTTTTTGTGGGCGAGTGTTGTCAGCCTGGCCAGTATCTTTAGCTTAATTTCTTACCATTCCCACTATCGGATTTCTACAACATAAAGGCTAATTATTCTGCGTTCATGATAAGAACTGGGAATACCTCCATTGCCAGTGGAATATCGGAGAATGTGCAACTTGAAACACTGGCTAGACATGTATTTTTAATAAATATCTGTGCAGCATAATTGAATTAGACCTATATTAAAACGTTGATATAAAGCTATGTTAATCCTGCTAGGATGAATAAGTGAGCAGTAGCAGCAGGGATAAAATACCTACTTTTCCTGGAGATATTGCTGCTCCAGGCTCCTTCCATTGCTGCTCTCATAACCCAAAGTGTTTTGGTATTGTTCATCCTATACAAATCGTAACAACTTGAAGTAAACTCAGTCTAGCTGACTGACTATAACCACAGTTTTGTTCTTCATTGCGCTTATGGATATCATCCAGGAATATGCCAAATAGTTATTGTGGCCAGCTAGTTGGTAAGATCACTCTTCAGTCACTGCTTCTTGGGTAAGCTATACTCCATCGGTCAGCACGGGAGATTTGGAGTGAAGGGAGGGGAGAGTTGATTGAATGTGAGGGTGAGTGAAATGGGTTTGGTAATTCTGAAACAATATATTTAAGATCATTCGTGTTGGCTATTAGATATGTTCTAGATAATAATTATATTGAGATATTAGAATGAATTTAAATGAGGATATGTATTCATTAGGATTTCTGTGTATGATCCTTGATATATATATATATGTATGTATATGTATATATGTGTATGTGTATATGTATATATATATATACGGCTTACCCATTTATATTGCTATATATATATATATATATCAATAAGAGATATATATTAAACAAAAAAACATATATTTAATACCAGGTTCTTGTTCATTTTCATGGGCTGTCCATGCCTTAAACGGCAAGACCCGGGTTTTATCTATTACAAATGCCGGGTTTACGTTTTACTCTTGGTTCATGATTTGATCAAAAGTACTGAATTGTTGGCTTAAACTTGACCAAAACATGTATTGTGTGCAACTAGCCCTTCCATAGTAGCAAATTATTTTAATTAATGATCTATACCATATCAACTTCAGAATGAAGACAAAGAAGGCTTTTAAAAAGAAAAGAAAACAAATGGGAAACTATTTGTGAATGGGTATTACTGGGGTCTGTTATACCAGTTGTATTTTCGTGTTTAGCTTTCAAAAATCTGAGTTTATTTTTGTTTGCACTGTTACAGCTTCAGTTGTGGAGAGAATTGGCATGATCCAGTTAAATGTAAGGTAGGTTTGTTGTCAGGGTCACAAAATGTTTGTTTGTTTTAGCTAAATCCAATGAAAGGTTTAGTGCTGTGAATAAGAAGCTTCTTTCAGCAGAGCTGACGCTGATTTGGCTGAATTTGTGTTAAGAAGGCTGGAGCTCCATCTTCTGGCCTGGTGGCAGGCTAATACAATTTATATGCAATATTTCATTTTTACCTGACTGAAAAGGTTTTGTATTTAGTCAGCACATCCATTAAGATGCATATTGAGAACATATGGGAGCTGAAGGGAGCTTTGAAACCACGTTAATCTATTTTATACCTCTATTTTACACCACTGCTTCTAGTTTGTCTGGCATAAAACTGGTTAAAACCCCACTGGAATACCTACATTTCCCTGTCTCCCAGCTCCTTTCAGTTTAGGTGCTATGACTGAGCTATGGCACATGAAGTGCTGCTGATTCAGTAAAATGGTACTACTAGCTATAAACAAGGAAAGTGGGTGGATCTGAATCCAGATATTGGTAAATGAAAATAAGTGACTAAAAAGTATCTTCTTTCCTCGACAGTGGCTTAGAAAATGGATCAAAAAGTGTGATGATGACAGTGAGACATCAAACTGGATTGCAGCTAATACAAAGGTAGGATTCTCACATTTTGTTTTATAGTTTCAGTCCATTCATTTAAAATTTTTGGTTTACATAAAGTTTTTTTTATAAGTAGAAATCTGATTATAGTGTATTCTGTTTATAATGCTAATTTCAACCTGCATTCACCCAGGAATGTCCCAAATGTCATGTGACCATAGAGAAAGATGGAGGCTGCAATCACATGGTATGCCGGAACCAAAACTGCAAGGCAGAATTTTGCTGGGTGTGCCTGGGTCCTTGGGAGCCCCATGGATCAGCTTGGTAAGGGGAAACATACAGTGGATTGTTCTTGCACCCCCTCATTTAAAATGTACTGCACTACAATGTCTGGATTAATTGAGGGTCATTGGGCTTTTAGTGTCAGTAAAAGTACAGTTAAAGTATATGTCAAGGCAAAATAAAAATATATGCTCATTTCCCCAAGTTTTATCCCTTTAAACATGCCGCAAGTACAGAAAAATATATTTTGATGTGCCACAAATATAGTATGCTCTGTTCTGTTTGAGCTGACAATACAGCATCTTTTGAACACAAAAAATCCTGAGTGGAGCCAGCCCTGCCTACTTCATTTCTAATGGGTTACAAAGAACATAACTGTCCATTCCACCACCTCTTTCCCCCCCCCCCCCCAAATTTCCCCAAAAGCCCTCTTTGTCCCAGG